TGTTTAACGAGCAATAACTCGAGTTTGGTATTGACTTCTTCCTAAGCAATGAAAACATTAACTCATTTAAATGGCTCTGATATCAATACCTCACCCACCTCTTGTTCAGCAATACGTATTAGCCGCTGATCAGAGATTTCACTTGAGCTGGTATCAAATAACATTTTGAATATTTACTGATTTATGCACCAATTTAAAAACAATGGTCCAATTACAATGCTGTCGGTAAACATAACATGCAAAGAAGTTTGTAATACGTGGAACACAAAATTTTTATAAATCGAAGCTGTCGGTAAACATAACACGTACACGCAAAGCAGTGTGACCGCGGACTTATCGGCAAGACATACGGTCTGACCCTCAGAAATATACCATAATATACCGTCTCATTTTAAAAATATACCGTAAATATACCGGACTTATCGGCAAGATATACGGTCTGACCCTCAGAAATATACCATAATATACCGTCTCATTTTAAAAATATACCGTAAATATACCGGACTTATCGGCAAGATATACGGTCTGACCCTCAGAAATATACCATAATATACCGTCTCATTTTAAAAATATACCGTAAATATACTGACGAACTCCAGTTCTATTATACATATATTCGTCGATTTTGAAATTCCGTGGAATATTACTAGATATCTAGACCTCTCAATCCTGCCCACATAATTTTATCCAGTTAATGAATCTATTTTCTAATTGACTGGCTTATTTTAAATCCTTGCTTTTATTGCATTTTGGTTAAAATGTGATTTTAGGGAAAATGGTCAAACAAAAAAGACGAAAGCGGACTTTGTGGGGACGATAAGGGGCATGCCAAAATGTTTAAATAAAGTTGTAACAGTGAGATAACAAGAGTGTGGATACCAAATTTTGTCTCTTTAGTCTCTAGGAACTAAGCGCTTATAAAGACACTGTTAGACTTTTCCAGAGTTTTCAATGTCAACATTTTTTAAAACATACCGGAAAAAATGACTAATTTTGAACCTGTCAGCTTAATATTATCCAGACGGGAAGCTTAAGATACAAAGTTTTTGGGACCGATTTATAGCTGCATTCATCAGCTTTTAGGAATTGAAAAGTAATGTTCAACACATCCAGGCGTAAAATACTTAAGTTAGGTGATTTGGTCCACCGCGATGATTGCAAGGCAAGGCTGACATGGACATGGACGAAAGGAACATAATACACAAAATAAAAACCAAATAAGATGAATTTATACTACTTGAGGTGGGCAGCTCATAATAAGAGGACAATATTCGAAAAAAAAACACCTACAATGTTAGATACATCCCCTCTTGAGGTAATGATATTCATCAAAATTTTTTAATTATTATTTCGGCTTCCCTAATTAAATTCAATTTAAAAATTTCTATGCGACTGTTTTGGCTTGTCCCTCCATTTCGATTGGGCCGCGGCTTACCTTGCTCGGGCATATAAAAATACCATCGGCTCAACTGAGTACTGATCGGTGAACAGCGAGTTTAATAGACTTGTTTCATTAGAGCAAGAGCAAGAGAGATATGCGTCAGATTGTCTTTCCAGTTAAGCTGGGAGCAGGGATTATCGATTTTTAGATCCAAGTACCAAGGATAATCAACGCCAGATTTTTGGTTCACTTGTCTCCGTTGGTAGATTTTTTCATAAACTATCTAATAATATGACAATTTCATCACTTTTGAGATTTTTTTTTTGACATAATTGTAATCCTATCGGAACACAAGTAGTACTTCGTTTGAATAACTGCAGTAATCAACAGTTGTCAAAACGATAAATTTTCCCCAAGTCGTGATGTTTTGTAAGCTGTGTTCGTATATGGCTATATGTTCTATATGTATACTGTATGTTTAAATAAATAAACGTAATTTTAGATCTGTGAAAATGTATACATACATATTGCGATGTCTCATTAGACCAACAATTTGAAATGTTCTAATAAATTATTAGTAAATATTATGATCAAATATCCGACATTTTTTCATCCTCATTGAGTTTCGGCCATTAGTTTATTAACATTTCAGGTTGAAGCACAATATAATGTCTATTGTCTAAGATTCCACCTTCACTACGGTCGTCTTCTCAGAGACATAAAGGCCGTCAAGGAATTTACGAATATCCTTATTTTTGACGGTAGTCGATTGTTGAATGAGCGCTGCTGATCCAGATACAGACTCGATATCGTTACCCTCAACGATAAGCTCGTCTTTTTGGGCTGTGGAGTTCACGACAGTCACACCAGGTGCCATTTCTACACGGCGAATGTACTTTTCACCCAAGAAGTTCCTGATTTCAATAACTGTGTTGTTTTCGGAAGTGACACAGTTAATGGGGAAATGGGCATAGACAGCACGCATCTTGTATTGAAAGCCAAACGTTACTCCTGTAATCACAGAAATATCAGCATCAACATCAAGCAATATTATATACTGTTTCCTTACCCTTAATCATATTCTCAATATGACTGCAGACGGTACGTACTGCCGCAAGCTCCTTCTTTGTTCCAAACCATTTCTCTACTTTCAACGTACGTTTGTCAGACATATACATGTCCAAAGCCAAATGCTTGAAGCTACGTTTCAGGACGCCGCGAGTACCGGTAATGGTTACTACGCGAGCCTTCACCGAGGCCTTGATGTCCTTGGGGATTTTCACGCACTGGTTCGAGTTGATCGTCCGCATTTTGATGGCACTAAAACCACAGATAAAACATCCATTAGTATAAAGACTATTGATATAAACATCTGAATATAACATTTTTGTGACAATGATATATGTACATATGCATGCACATTCATTTGACAACTTAGATTTATTTTATGCAATTGTATGTACACAATTATGTTTTGAATTCTCCTTCATTCTTTCACACAATCACAGTTTATCATGAACAAGCGATAATGGAGTAAATTTACGAAAATACCATAAGCCTGATATCTTTACTGCCACGTAACATATTCAATACAAATTAATCAAAAACAGTTATTTCGATGTTTGAACATTTCTTTCTAAACAAAAATTCTACAACTTACGCTCCGTAAACCGACCGGAAAAAGGCTGAAAAAAGGAAAGGTATTTTTGACGTTTCCAATGAGTGGTGCTGCCAGATCGTCGTAGGCGCCTGAAGTGGGTTCGAAGTGATTATTTTGGAACTAGTTCAACTGCATAGCTATTTTATTGGTTATACTATCAGATTTAATTCAACATAACATACAACTATTTGATTTTTGTAGATTTTCAGTGTAAAGTAGAAACAGGTTTAAGGCAAAACTGTTTGTTGATTCCATTTTGTTTGCCAGATAACTCCATCTGTCATGCCTTATCCCCTGAACTAAACTTTAAGCCAATAACATGTAATATTTAAAATCACCTAAATTCAACCAACTTTTAACTTCACTTCTTACCTCCTTTCCACATTTTGTAAGTATATAAGTACCATTATTAGCAGATAACTTTTAATTAAAGATATAAATTAATATATATTTCTATTTGCAGTGAATTTTTTTTTGGATGCATATTTTTCACTCGATAGTTTTTTATTGATCAGGAAATTCTGCTCATAATAGTATAGCAATATTATGTTAATCGCTCATTTTGTTCTTTTATTATTGTTTCTTAGTTTTTGTTTGCAGTTATTGGCATCCATTAACATTCAACAAAATTAAATTCTTTTCGATAGCAAAAAAAAAATCAGCGCGTCCACCAGCAACTTGATCTGGGATCAGTTTTTGATTTCTTACGCAAATTCATCAAATTTGCAGATATGGAGTGTATAAATGGTAATTGCCTTTGACTTACTTTTGGGGCTACGTTTTCAGCCAAAACGTAAAAATTCACAAATTTTTAGTATTGATAGTCTGCTTGAATATAGCAAAATAGAAGAAGAAAATAAATGTATTGTTATTTTGTATCCAATAAAATATACAATTTATTTATTTCATCTTGTGAAAGTTACCAATTCAGACAATTGGTAGTGTTCCACATCTCAAATTTTTCCCACCGTTCCAACAGTGTACGGAATTAACTCAATAGTAACACTAACCATACAGTATATATATATATATATATCGCAAAATGCACAAGTCAGTGAAAATCGATAGTGTGAATGCATATCGATTTTCACTGACTTGTGCATTTTGCGATATCAGCAGAAAAAATTTCCATATTCGAATATTAATTTAATTTGATCATTATTTCGCACATTTTTGTCAAAGTTTCACATTTAATTGATTTGTACAATTGTACAAAACCCTCTGTTATGTTTGGCATTAAGCTGTTAGCTTAAAAATATTTTGTGTTGTTGGCCAGATTAATTAACTAGGCTAGTAACTAAGCAATTGCAGTCTAATAGAGTCACTTTAAATAAGCTATTAACCAGGCAATTACACTGCCGCGAGTTTGTTATCGATGTCGAAACACAATAGCTGAACCTGAACACTAATAGAATAAGTAGCTAAAAAGTGGTTTATTTACCTCTGAAGAATTAAAAAAATTAACAAAAAAATGATTGGGGCGACTTTAGGTGTTTCGAATGAAAAAGGGATTGTTGATACCTGCTGGAGATAAGCTGACTAAACTTGCTGATTTATTCAAAGTTTATCGAGCATAGGCCCCACTGTACTTTGATCTATCAGTCAGTTTTTCAGTCTCTCAATATATTGGGAAAACAAAAATATATATATAGATACATGAGCAGCAAATATACCCATATCATAACCACATCATAACCGTTATAAAAAACCATAATTAAACTGACATCTAAATTTATTATCAGTTCGATCATACAAATAATAACAACGGAATCTGCATCTAAGTAATTTTAGATTTGGATTCTTATGGAGCAATTTTATTGCACATTTATCCCATCAACACAACTTGGTATTACCAGTGATAATTTAACGCAAGTCCATTTCCACTTATCGATTGTTTCTGGAATGGGAAATTTTTAAGAGTGGAAACAAACGATTATATTACTTTCGATGTATGCCGAACTACCGAACTTCCGAACTATCATCGCTAATTAAAGGCGGGATCTGTTTCTAGTGGCGTTGGTATAACCAGCCGGCTTTACTCCTCGCATTGGTCTTTTTTGAGCGTCATTCTAATATATTTGTGTTGCTGCGCGTTTAGCAGTATAGTTTGTGCTTTCTAGATAAATATTTACAAAACAAAATGACTGCTACGCCCGCGCAGTTTGAATTTTTATCAACTGCAGGAAATATGCTGGAGTGGCACGATAATCTCGACAGACAAAAGCCTGGTCTATTGGAAGTGAGTTACAAGGTGTTATATAGCTTTCAAAATCTTATAAAGCTTCTATTTTAGTTAACAGGTGTTAGCCAGCATGGTAGACCCACGATGAGTGGCCTAAATGATTACGACTACCAGAGCCTTGCATACTTAAAATCAGATAATGCACATAACCTAAAACAACTGCGAACTGTCACAAAATCTGCAATACCAAATGAAATTCTGGAACACTTTAAGCGTATGTATAGTGCGGCATTATTCACATTGATAACTGGTATACAATTACAAATATAACACGCAGATGTAAAATGTCATTGTAACATGGGGTTGTTTCCTGAAATTGGTCGCGCTTGGCTAACCATTGATTCTGAGATTTACATATGGACATATAATCAAACACGAGATGTTGCATACTATGATGGGTTAAGCCATTTGATTGTGAGCGTTGGATTGGTAAAGCCGAAGCCTGACGTCTTTGTGAAAGATGTTATGTATCTTTTAGTTTTGACGACACCTATAGAGGTAATTGTCTTGGGCGTCACATTTGGAGAGAATTCGTACAATGAAATGCAACTAATGAACAGGCCAATATTTGTGATTGGAACTGACAATGTATCAATCAGCGTCATAAAAGGAACAGACGACGGACGCATTTTTTTAGGTGGTCGTGATGGCTGCTTATATGAGGTGTTCTATCAGGCTGAAACTAGCTGGTTTGGAAAACGTTGCAAGAAGATAAACCTCTCCCAAAATCTCGTTTCTTACATGGTCCCGAGTTTTCTCAGAGTATTTTCGGTACGCACGCAATGCTGACACAAATTTGAACACTCGATTGATTTTTTCTTATTTTATAGGAAGTTGATCCCATCCAGACTATTGCCATCGACAATAGTCGCAGACTGCTATATATTCTAACGGAAAATGGATCAATTGAGGCTTGGGATATCGGATCGAATTATGCAAATGTGCGAAGACTGTCTAAGATCACCCAAAGTGATATTACTAACAAAGCAGTCAGCTTGATTACGTATGTTCGATTTATGTGGATTTCTGTACAAATATCTAAACCATATTGTTTTTAGGACTGTTGACCCATCTATTTTTAAAGCTGTTAGGGCAATATGTCCCCTTATCGAAGATGAATCAAACAAGCTGCACCTTGTCGCTGTTACGCAGTGCGGCGTACGTCTGTATTTCTCCACCACATCGCTGAATACGCAACAGTCTTTTAACGCAACAACACCCTGCCCACAAACCGAATATTTCGGCAGTGGTCAGCCACCACTGTCAGCGGGAGTAGACGCGCCGAAGGGACTTTACTTACTCCATGTTCGACTTCCCCCGGGGTACACACCTAACGCAACAACCAATAAACCTAGGGAGGTACATGCAGCACACTACTCGGAGGAAACAATGTTAATGATTACGACTCAACAGCAAGATCAGGACATATTGTGGTCGGTTAGCTCTGTACCGTCAGTTAATCACACGTATCTCGTGGAATCAACAGCTCTGGAAAGCTTGGATGGCATTGTTTGGGGCTTAGCTGAGGTACACGATCCCTCTAGGCCTCTTCTTAATTCCCCTTTATACAAGGCACGCAACCCGCGCCGAGTCGCTTTGCTAACAAACCAAGGCACTCATATTATAGAGTTGCTAAAATCGCCAGACATACTGCTGCAGATCTTGTTGGCGTGCAATGGTCCGCATCATGAGGAAGTAAAAATGTTTTTCCAATCGCAAAATAAACGCGAGGCCTGTGCTACGTGTTTACTGATAGCCACTTCTGAAAAATATCGTGGTGGCGATATAGCGTTGTGGGCCACCCAGGCTTTTATGCTGTACGGCGGAGAACCATGCTTTCAAAATCAAAAGTTTTCGAATGCTAATAATCGTAACTTACCCAATCAAACATTGTCTTCGAATTCAGCCATAGGGACAGAGCGGTTGCCCATGTTCATGTCGACACCAATGCAAAATAAATCAACTCTCCCCTCTACGCAATATGCCGCATTTCAGTACAATCAGCATACAAGTCAAGGTACGTACGCTCAACAAACTGGTGAAAGCTTAAAAGTTAACTAATAATAAATTTCAGCTGGAATTTTGCAGTCATCCCAGGCACCTGGTCAGGAAAATGCAGCGATAGTTTTTTCGTCAAAACATGACGGACTATACCTATATGTCTCCCGGATGTTGCGATCTATTTGGAAACTCAATTGTGTTGATGAAAATTTCTGCACCAAATTAGGTCCAGGCGATTGTGCATCCATATTGTCCGACCTACGTTCATTGCGTAGTTTTCTGGAAGTGCATTCTGTACATGATATTTCCTGTAAGTAGCTTACTCAAAGAGTAAAGGGGCATGTTCGATTTTTGGTGAAAGTTGATGTGTGCAACATCCAGAAGGAAGCGTTTCGGATCCCAGAATGTATATACATATATTCTTAGTCAACATTAATAGCCAATGATATCACACTGAAACAAGTTCGTTTCGACCATTGATGCTGATCAAGTGGATGTGCACACATTCACTTTCACCACAAATCTGTTTTTGAGTATCCGGTATAATAATATTTGATCGGAATTAGTCACAATCGCCAACGAACTAATTTATATTCTTTAAATTTGTAGCCTCTACCCGAGTGCCTTTCGACAGTCAATTGGACAAAACGAATGGATACACAACAATGTTGATGGCCAACAGCCATTTGCCCATGTCGGATCAAAGGAGCATGACGGAGCAGGCTCAGGTTGAGGAAAAACGGTCGCTTTCAGCTTTGAACCTTTTTGTCAGTAAGTGTAGATTTAATGTTCTATTTAATAGCAAAAAATCTGGAGTCCACTAATTTGAACTTTTTACTAGAGCATGCCTGTGAGGTCATATCCCTGTGGAGCATTCTGAATTCGCATTCATTTCAACACCTTTGTCTGCAGCTTAGTCCCGAGCACCAGAAGGTTCTGAGGTGTTGCACCTTTCGCGACTTGATGCTTACACGATCCGAAGTGTGCGCATTTTTAATAATTTCACTGATCAATCTATACCTCAAGGATAAAACTGGTGTATCGGAAGTGTCAAAGAATTTACGTGAGCTATGCCCGAATCTGTATAGGCATGAGGATGCTGTTACATACAAGGCCACAGAGCTTCTAATGAGTGCTAAGAATTGCACCTCACCTGTGGAGAAGAAACAAAAGTTGAGAACAACGTTGCAAATGTGCAAGGAAGCGGCACCCACATTGCCGCTGCATAGCATTTGTCAACTTTTTATTTCCGTCGACTTTTTCGAGGGTGTAGTCGAACTGACAGCCATTTGTGCATCAAAGAGCGATCCCGAGGAAGTTGGAATTCACTTCTATAACAACGACGAGCCGCCTGAAGACCGTGAAGGTTATTCATATTTTGTCACCCGGTAAGTAAATTAAGAATCTGAGATCAGTCTGAGCAACTCAAAATTATTATTTCAGGATGAACTATTACAAGGAGGTGCAACTTATGCTAGATCACGTCTACCAGGCTACCTGTAATAATACATCTATTCAAGATCAAACATTACCGTATTATCTCTGCAACACTCCCGGATCTAATGTAGACCCTGGGGAAAGCTGTAATGCTGAATACAAATCGAAGCCATCAATTTCAAAAATTGCTGCCCAGACTCTCCAAATAAAAGACCCTTTAATTCATGTGACTCTCTACGAATGGTTGCTCGCTCATGACATGTTAACTGAACTTTTGGAAGTGGTAGAGCCAACATTGGGAGAGTTTTTGCGCCGAAGTGTAACACGTAATCCGGATAATGTCATTTTAACCGATTTGCTTTGGAAGTATTATGAGAAGAATGGATACCATTCCCAGGCAGCAAAAATTTTGGATAATTTGGCAATGACACGCAGTGAAAACATAACTCTGGAACAACGCATTGACTATTTGGTTAGGGCCGTTATGTGTATGCGCAATGGGAACGTTGGCTCCTCTGTAACCAGTGGGATATTCTTAAAGGAACTAGAAGACAAGGTAACGTTCATTTGAATGCACTCGTAAATTGACATTGAATTATTTTTTGTTATTTTAAATTTCAAATTTCAGCTGGAAATAGCTCGAGTTCAAAAAGCGGTTCTTGTTGATATGACGGCGTTGGCCCAAAAAAATCCAGACGCCTCAATGGCCGTAAAAGAATTAAATTACTCACTATACGAAATCACACCATTATACCAGCGTTTTGCTGAGCCCTTTAATCTTTGGGAGTGCCAATTGTCGATACTTAATTGCTCCCATCACAACGATCCCTTGCTTATAGAGTCGGTGTGGGGTAACATAATCAGCAGCTTAGTAGAAGACCCAGGATCCATTCAGGACCGCACCAACAGGTTGTTCAGCAAAATTGAACTATTAGTGCGTGAATATGCTGAATCGGGAGCTTGCTTCCCATTCGCTTTTTTGATAAGGGAGCTGGAAATTAAAGCTTGTCAGCTGCGTATGCCCGAAGGAACGGTCCCAGAAAAACTGGTTACCATGAACCTTGACCTGGAGTTAATTCTTGAATACTACTCAAGGTATGTTGTATTATTTTATTCGTGCAGTAGGAGCGAGAAGATGTTTTCGTGTTTTGTTAATCATTTTCAACTTTTTTCAGAATGATTTCAATGAATGAACGTGTCTGGGCAAATGAAGGCAACGAGTGGCACTTAATCCAATCCGCAATTCGTGTGGTATCTCTTCTTGCGGACAACGCCCATGCTATTTGGTACCGCTCAAAGTATGTTTGGTTGGCAAATATTTCTTTTTTTAAATTTAAAAACGTAATTGTCAATACTCTTCTCACAGGAGACGAATTATTGGAAAGGCTCAGGACATAGTGGCTGCCTGCTTGAATATATGTTATCAGAAGCCAGACACAAATCGATTACAGCAGAGTCTTAAAGAGCTACAATGCAGATTGCAACGGCTGTTGGGTTAGTTTTAAAATATGAATTTTAACTAAATTGAGAAGAGCAAAATTAAGAATAAATTTAATAGATGTTAAATTTGACTGAGATATATATTGTATTTGTATTAAGAGTTTTAAATAAATTGGTTTACTCTTTATTATGTTCCGCACAACAATTATAAAATCACGATGTATTTATAGTTTTTAAGTGTGCTTCAGTAAGTATACATTTAGTCATATGGCAGGAACATGGCACGGGGTGTTCTTCGATATTCGGATCGAGAAGCTCGACTTCCAAATTGTACTTCCGCATGTCACTTGCGCTGCGCGTCATAGAGATTTGAAATGCTATTGGTGATTTTTCATCAACAGTTTCGCAAGCGTCTTGTGGTAGAACTACTACACACTGCTTCCAATGCGTTTCCGGGGCGAAAGGAGATGTGCTAAGAATCACGGCTTCATTGCCTGGAAATAGCACCTCAAACCATATGCAAAATCCTTGATGGTTTCCCCCTCTTTGTGCCGCAACGACATCCTTAAAACGAACTTCCTCAAGTTCAGCCATATCCACATCGAGCAAGTTCATCCAATGAAGAACGACACCCTCGTGTAGCAAATTTTTAGGATCCAACTGTGTAATCTCTGGCCTAGTCGACTTTTGCGTTCTCAGCTTTTTAGCAAAACTATCCATTTTTATACCATCAATATTCTGCCAATAATCAAACAGAGATGGAACAGAGCAAGGTGCCACAAAAATCGTGCACTCTGTGGGAAACATTAGTCCATCTTCTTTCAGAAATTTGTCCCTAGCCAGAAGAACTGAACCGAGCATACCTTCATGGAGTAAATAAAACCCCATCCATTCGGAAACAATAATATCAACTTTCTCAGATGAAACAGGAAGGACCAATTCTTCTACTCTAGAGTGAATAACTTTAACAATGCTTGTTAAACCATTATCTTGCATTAGATCCAAAGCAACTTTTGTAGCTACGTTAGACGCTTCTACGGCATAGACCAACCGGGCTCCTGCCTTTGCACAGAAAGCTGAAAGTATCCCAGTACCAGCACCAACATCTAATACAACTTTATCTTTAAATATGTCTTTGTTGCCCAGAATGGCATTGCAGTATGCTATCTGCCGGGGTCGATCTTTCAACATTAGCTCATGGACCTAAAAACAAAATCTTATAATTTATGTGCTCTTTAATTATTTATATAAATAAACTTTCCTCTAAATTTTCGTATTCATCGAAGTAAGGATTAGACATATCTGCAGAATAAACCAACGTGCTTTTCGTAAAAACTCAGAACAAAACAAACAGTGTGACCGCGGACTTATCGATAAGAAATACGGTAAATATACCGACAATTTCCAGTTCTATTATACCACTAACCATACAGTATATAGATGTGCCAGTTCATGATGCAATTATACAATTATGTATAATTGTACACTAGGGAGCGGGAAATAAAATGAAAGCTGTTATTTGTTTGATTTATACCACAAAATATAAAATATTACAATAATATAATTACACATTTATTTCCTTATTTTAAACAGGTTGATAATATATTATAAAAATTATGCAAACATGCGTTAAAAAAGGTTTTAGCGAAATAAGTCAAACAAAAAAAAAAACGAAAGAGAAAAACTCAAAATTACACTACCTTCCAGTATGTTATTGTCAATAGAATCCGCCACGAAGATAGCATGTTTTGAAGACAAAAGAACCAAATAGGATGAATGACTTTATTCAAAAATAACACCATAAAAGTGGATAAATCCCTTCTTGTGGGAAAGAAACAAATCTACATATATGTTTTTTTGTACTTTAAAAATGCAGAAAATAAATATTGCGCCGCAACAATTTTTAATTTAAAACAAAAATATGAAACAATGTCTTATCGGGTTTATTTTAATATCATCCCTGAGTTAGCTTCGCAAAGACATTTTTCGGAAAATTCCTCTTACAAATTCTAGAAAATATGAGGAAGTCTCGGCTAACGGTAACTTCTATTAGCCTAAGATATGTTTGTCGGCAGCGAATTCACATTTTTTTAAATGTATCAATCAATATTGAGTAAAATCCAAAATCCAATCCATCACTTCATAGACACCAAAGCGCAGCATTCTACGATTATTCACATTGGAATATTTTTTCCGGTGAAGTGTGCGTCTCACCACTTCTCTTTTTGCTGATAAAAGTTATTAGCCTATTGTCAAAATAAATATCAGTTACATTTTTAACTTTTTTAAATTTAAATGTAAACGACTGTCTCGTTTTCCTATGTAGAATTATTGAATATGAATTTATAGGTAATTTGCAAAAAAAAGCATTCCAATCCTACCTGTTCCTGAACAGTATTACAGTATGACCACAGTATCATTTAATTTTTGAAAAAGCCAATAACTGTAAACGATATTTTGACATCGATAGCAACAGGAAGTGTAAAACTTGCGCATTCAGCCCTGGGTAATTTTAAAACTTTGACGGTGGACGACGGAAATTATTCAACGGAAAATGAATGATTTACCAACAAATTCTGGGCATTCTCGTGGACGCGGGCGCGGAACAAAACAGAAGGACGATGCAAACCGTGGCTTGGGTCTGCAGTTGGTAAGAAAACTAAATTAAATACAATGTATGTATATCCTTTCCCGGCAGTATTGATATATGGTTTGCACATCGCGTTTTTTTAAACATACAGAACTCAAATTCACAGTAATTAAGTAATTTCACTTTAATTTGTGTATTAAATCAGTTGTAAAAAATATAACATGTTAAAAAAGTGATGTATATAAATGGTTACCGGAATAATATTGCAGCTTTTTTACTGAACAGCTTAATTGGTGCACCAAGTCTTGAATGTGTCTTTAGAAAACTTTGATGTTCAAGTTTGTATAACTTTGCATGTGCTAAAAATATACAATATTATATTGTTTTTGCAAATACATATATATGAAATCTTTTGAAAGTTTTTATGTTGAATAATTTTCCCCTAACGTTTTCCCCTACTTAGCTCTTTATAGAATTGACTTAGCCACTGAATGGACGCATGTATGTACGTATTTCCATTTTATGCTTTTGGATCAATGCTTCGATCAATCCCGAATAATTGCGCTTAGGATAACCGTCGTGCTGAAATTTGCATAGAATTGGTGTGGTTTTCTTGGCCTGCTATGTTATAATATCTGTCTCTAAAGATGTTTAAAACCATAACACAAACCTATTAATACATATGTGCTGGGTTTATGCATATGTAACTAAGCGAATGGAGTTCAAATTGGATCGGTCGAAAAGCTAGTCTGTGAGAGTATTTATGTAGCATTCATGTACAAATACTCAAAAAGAGTATAGTGGGATATTAGATTGTGGAAAAAGTGGGAAAGGAAGCGTTTTCGATAGCCGAGTCGATTGAGCCAGGTTTGTCTGTCTGTCTTGTTTGATGCCTAGTTCTCTCAGATACTAAGATCTAGAGCAACCAAATTTTGTACCCAGACTCCTGTTATATCACACTGAATCAAGTTTGTTTCAAACGTTTTCTTTTGCAACGCCTCTTTCCTCCCCCACATAGGGCGAAAAACTGTCTCATCCACAATTTTGAAGATACGAAAAAATCAAAAACGCAAGATCATAGAGACAGATTCGAGAATCTGGATCAGATCATTTAATTTCAAGATTTTTTCCTCTCTCACACAGTTTTTGTTGTTCAACGTAATCGGCTATAAATATGGAGCTGCGGCCATAGCAGCAACTCACAACGTTCCCCCCGTTTTTAGTTTACTTTTGAACTAAAAATTAATATTTGGTATGCCCTCCTTATTGTTTATAACCTTTTCCAACCAATATCAGTCAAAAATTCTCAATGCCTTTTTAAGACAGGCGTTTGAACCGAAGAATTCATCAAGGAGGGACATAATTGAATTGGAAAAATTCAAGGAATTCACGATTTTTGTTGTCCTGATAAAATCAAAAACCATCTTTTATCCCGAATTTTTTAAAATATTTAAATGAGTTTTTTTTTTTAAGTATCCATAGATAACATAGCTGTGTTTCCATAAAAAAACATACATTAATAACACTATATTGTCGGTTCTTCATTTCAAGCTCTATAGTTGGTTCTCTCCAGAAATGTGTGTTTCATCGGAGCAAAAACCCTTTTTGGCCTTTTTTAACGAAGCTAAAACTCCTGTCCTGTTGAACTATTTTGTGTTATTTTGTCTGTTATTTGGTATAGAATATAAGCATTTATGTAAAAACATACGAATTTATCGCTTTGTAGGGGCAATCTTCTAACGAGGCTCGTCCGGATAAACCTGTCCCCCCAGCGGACGCGTTAAAAACGTCGGAGATCATACCCAAGTCTAAGGATACTGAAGCTCAAGCCATTGAAGGTATTGGTTTTGTTCTTTTTGTGATTATTTTAATTTCCAATGTTTTTCTTACTAGGCGATCCTCGTGGGTCTGTACGTGGACGACGCCTAATAACTGAAGTTGTGCACTCTCGTCCTCAGGGACTTACAACCAAAGCTGGAATTAGCGGCACGAAAATAAATGTCCAAACCAATTATTTTAAGCTGTTAAAACGTCCATGCTGGACCATTTTCCAGTACCGGGTTGATTTTGAACCTGAAGTCGACAACACACGTTACCGTCGTGGGTACCTTTACGAACATAAAAACATATTGGGTGGATACATTTTCGACGGAACTATTTTATTCTGCACAACTCAGTTCAACTTCAAGGAATTAGTGACAAAAAATCACGCAGGAGAGAACATTACCATCAAAATTAAGCATGTTGGTTTAGTTGAAGCAGCTGACAATCAACAATTCCAAGTGCTTAATCTTCTCTTACGAAAAGCAATGGAGAGTCTTAGTCTCCAGCTTGTATCCCGTAACTATTATGATGCTAAGGCGAAGGTACGTCACTTTGCACTAACAAAAATGAATTTAAATAATATACTTGCCATGTAACTATATATTTATACCATTTTTATATGGATTTTCATATTGTTACAGCAGCAGTATTTATTGCTCTAATATGTAAATGTGAACCAAAAATCTTAATCTTAACGCCTCTCAATCTTAATCTTATGTGTACCTAGTTGAAATCTGCATGAATAGTAAAAAAAACCGGCATTCGAATCCTACCAAGCTGTAACATAATGGCTCCCTAACATAATGACTTTCCATCATCGTATGCATTGCTTTTTTTACTCGAATGTTATGATGAGGTCACCTTCGAAGTCTCGTCACCAACATTCTCCGCATTAAAGGATGCAAAAGCAAAGAAAATATAAATTTAATTTTGAAGAAAATTTTGAAAAATAATTTTGGATGCGAAACTTTGGTAAACATCTTTTTATTTTGACTCTAACTTTAAAAGTGTTTGAGGGTCAAAAAACGAACTAGATGTTATTAGTTATTGACAACTTGCAATAAGTTTTTTCTGCTGCTATTACTAATCTAAAAACATTGGCTCATTGCTGGCTGCTGCGACGGTAATTATTTTCAGTAGCGTAAGCAGCCTGTTCCTTTTGAACAGTTTAAAAAAATCAAATCAGGGAAAACACAAATTTCACAATTCTTATTATTATATTATTATTATAATGTTTGAAATATCTTTACAAATGAAAAATAACGACGGGCTAATGTTTAAAAGCTTTTAAATGTTGTTTTTTAATTTCTGCTAAAGATTAAACTTAATAATTACCGCGTGGAATTGTGGCCTGGATATCAAACATCGATTCGTCAACACGAGTCTGATATATTATTGTGTGCCGAGGTCGTTCATAAGGTAATGAGAACGGATACCTTGTATGACATCCTAAGTGAGGCGATTCGGGATACCGACAACTTTAAAGATGCTTTTCGACGCCAAGTAATGGGTGAGTTTTCCATATTTACATATGCATATATACATAAATTTGTGCATAACCCTGTGCGACCAATTAGATTAATGACTCGTATTTGCATTTGTTATACACAAAATATTAGTAGATGTGAAAAGGCAAGACTAAAAATGCGCAGTCGAAAACATTTACATAGTTCGTGGTCTGGCACCGATTGCTGCAAGACTCAATTCTCCGCGAGTTATCGCGCCACTGACAATCTATTACTCAGTATCAATAGGATCACTAGAAAAAGCTCAGGATTAAGTCGAGCTATTGGAACTCAAAAGGTATGACTGTAGGTTATTTCTTAGGATAACTTAGGATAACATAACTAACTCTGCAGTCGTAACACTTACTAAAGCAATAGATATACTT